TTCTTCCAAAGACCAAACTGGAGTTTGAGTTAATAATTAAAAAGTTTATTGAAGGAACCAAGCAATCCTAGATTGGACAATAATAATTGTAATCTTAGAACTTACAAGAAAACTCCATTTATTTGATCTTTATTACTTTTGTCTCAAATAGAAAAGGCAATATTGAAGTCACTTTGTAAAGATTGAATAATTTAAAACTTTGTTTTGTTTTTAAAGATTAGGGGTGAGAATGAATGTTCTTCCTCACAGCTGTTGTGAGAGTAACTGTGAGGAAGGAAGGAGGATGCCTGGAAGTTTCCTGAGCTATGCTGATTTTAAAAGTCAGTTCAAAATAAACAGAAATCATATACAACTAAAAAAAAGTATGTGGTCTTTAGAGTCTTATTATTGGCTGTACTTCCAGGTGCCATTCCTCTTTCTCCTTCCCCTATTCAACTTATTTTTCTTTATAATTAGTTAATTTATAATTCATACAAATAAAAAGATAATTAGCTCTATAAGGCTTGTTATAAAAAGTAGTATTTCTCCATTCCCCCACAGAGGGATTGCAGGGAGGGTATGAGTCAATCAGGGTGCAGTGGAGCACTGATGGATCACACAATATACTTCTGATCCCTTGAGGTCTCCTCACTCCCCACTATCATGACCCCAGTGCCGCTCCCCGCTCTGGACTAGACGGGAGCCTATACATAGGTATAGGCAAGAGATAAAACTCATGACATATGGAACCCAGGAACAGGAATGGGAATATTGATACCAAAAATATAGGGGGAAGGAGGGGAGAGATGGGCAAGGGAGGGGTACCAATAGCAATGAATGGCACATAACCACACCCCCTCCTCCAGGGGGAAGAACAACGGAAACTGTAGGGGAAGGGAGACAGTGGTCCGTGTGAGATATGAAAATAAAAATAATCTATAATCTATCAAGGGGCCACAAGGGGGGGGGGGGAGAAGAGCTGATCCCAAGGGCTCAATGGAAAGTAAATGTCTAAAAAAGAACGGTGGCAATATATGTACTAATATGTCGGATCCAGTTGATGTATGAATTGTAATAAGACTTGTAAGAGCCCCCAATCAAATGATCTAAATAAATTTTTTTTTAAATCATGTTGTGTGTGTGTGGGGAAATAGTACTTTACTTACCATTGCCATCAAGTTGATGCTGACTCCTAGTGACCCTCTACAAGGTAGAACTCTCCCGTGAGTTCTGAGACTGTTTACAGGAGCAGAACGCCCCCAGTCTTTCTCTTCAAGCTGCTGACCTTGTGGAAGTCCAATGTGTAATTACTATGTCATCAGAGCTTCTAGTACCTCTACTATATACACAGTTTTCAGCTTCCTATGAAGAACTACATAGAAAAATGTGTATGTGGTTTGTTTCAGAACTTACTCTGTATCTCAAAGGAGAAAGTATGTGCTACTTCTTGATTTTTCTATTTTGTGCATTACTTACTGACTTCCTACCATGGAAGATGAGGATTTTGTACACGTATACATCCCCTTCAACCAACCACATAATAACTTACCACACATACTTTCTGCTTCCTCCTTTTTGCTTCCCAGCCTTATGGTAATCTTAATTTTGGTTAGATCACCATCAAAAGTTTATACTATTATGATTCTTTAAAGTCTGTTTATAGATAAGCCACTTTCCTTTCCCACCTTTCTCTCTCTTTTTTTTAATCGTTTATTAGGGGCTCATACAACTCTTATCACAACCCATACATGCATCAATTGTGTAAAGCACATTTGTACATT